CGGGGAGACCCCGAAATCCTGAGGGAACCCGAAATTCGGGGAGACCTGAAACCTCCTGGGGGACCCGAAATCCTGAGGGCAACCCGAAATTCGGGGAGACCCCGAAACCTCCTGGGGCACCCCGAGAATCCAGGGAGACCCCCAAACCTCCTGGGGGACCCGAAATTCGGTGAGACCCCGAAACCTCCTGGGGGAACCCGAAATTCGGGGAGACCAGAAATCCGGGGAGACCCCGAAACCTCATGGGGGAACCCGAAATTCAGGGAGACCCCAAAACCTCCTGGGGGGACCCAAAATTCGGGGAGACCCTGAAACCTCCTGAGGGAACCCGAAAATCCTGGGGGGACCCCGAAATTCGGGGAGACCCCGAAACCTCCTGAGGGAACCCGAAATCTGGGGAGACCCTGAAACCTCCTGGGGGGACCCAGAATTCGGGGAGACCCGAAATTCGGGGAGACCCCAAAATCGCCGGGGGGACCCCAAAATTCGGGGGGTTCCCAAAGTTTTAAAGGGGAAAAGTTTCGGGGATGGGTCATGGAAAGTGTCTGAAATTTGGGGGGAACTGGGAGATCTCAGGGGGGTCCCCAAAATCCTTGAACATTCCCCAAAATCTTTGGGGGGACCCCGAAATCCTGGGGGGACCCCGAAATATGGGGAGACCCCGAAACCTCCCGAGTGAACCCCGAAATTCGGGGGGTTCCCAAAGTTTTAAAGGGGAAAAGCTTTGGGGATGGGTCATGGAAAGTGTCTGAAATTTGGGGGGAATTTGGAGATCTCAGGAGGTCCCCAAAATCCTGGGGGGGCCCAAAAATATTTGAGGGTTCCCCAAAATCCGGGGGGGACCCCGAAATTCGGGGAGACTCCAAAACCTCCTGGGGGAACCCGAAATCCTGGGGGTTCCCAAAGTTTTAAAGGGGAAAAGTTTCGGGGATGAGTCATGGAAAGTGTCTGGAATTTGGAGGGGACTTTAAAATTTCAGGGGGTCCCTGAAATTTGCAGGGAGACCCCAGAAATCCTCAAGGGGGTCCCCAAATCCTCGAGGGGTCCCCAAAATTCAGGGCAACCCCAAAATCCTGGGGGTTCCCAAAGTTAAAGGGGGAAAATTCCGGAGATGGGTTGAGGAAAGTGTCTTGGAATTTGGAGGGGATTTGGAGATCTCAAAGGGTCCCCAAAATCCTGGGGGGACCCCAAAGTCTTTGGGGGGACCCCGAAATTCGGGGAGACTCCAAAACCTCCTGGTGGACCCCAAAATTCAGGGGGTTCCCAAAGTTTTAAAGGGGAAAAGTTTCGGGGATGGGTCATGGAAAGTGTCTGAAATTTGGGGGGGGGTCCCCAAATCCTGGGAATGACCCCACAGCTAATTAAGCTGTTAATTACCGCAGCCAATTAAGCCGGCCGTGCCCCGCCCCCCCCCGGGGCCCGGCGCGCAATGGCTGCGCACAGAGACCCCCCCGGCTGTGTAGGGACCCCCCCCGTGGGGGGCACCCAAAGGGGCCGGGGGGACAAAAATTCCCAAAAATCACCCCAAAATTAACCTTGGGGGGCACCCAAAGGGGCCGGGGGGACAAAAATTCCCAAAAATTATCCCAAAATTACCCTGGGGGGCACCCAAAGGGGCCGGGGGGACAAAAATTCCCAAAAATCATCCCAAAATTACCCTGGGGGGACCCAAAGGGGCCGGGGGGACAAAAATTCCCAAAAATCACCCCAAAATTAACCTTGGGGGGCACCCAAAGGGGCCGGGGGGACAAAAATTCCCAAAAATCACCCCAAAATTAACCTTGGGGGGGCACCAAAAGGGGCCGGGGGGACAAAAATTCCCAAAAATCATCCCAAAATTACCCTGGGGGGACCCAAAGGGGCCGGGGGGACAAAAATTCCCAAAAATTATCCTGGGGGGCACCCAAAGGGGCCGGGGGGACAAAAATTCCCAAAAATCACCCCAAAATTAACCTTGGGGGGCACCCAAAGGGGCCGGGGGGACAAAACCCCCAAAAATCACCCCAAAATTACCCTGGGAGGCACCCAAAGGGGCTGGGGGGACAAAAATTCCCAAAAATCACCCCAAAATTACCCTGGGGGGCACCCAAAGGGGCTGGGGGGGCAAAAATTCCCAAAAATCACCCCAAAATTACCCTGGGGGGCACCCAAAGGGGCCGGGGGGGCAAAAATTCCCAAAAATCCCAAAATACCTTGGGGGGAGGAACAAAAGCCCCAAAAAATCCCAAAATCCTCCTGGGGGGCACCAGAATCCCCCTTGGGATGGGTCTGGGGGCTTCAGACTCCCCCTGGGGGCACCAAGATCCTTCCTGGGGCTGGGGCTGGGGTCTCCCAGGGGTCTGTAAATAGGGCTGGGGTCCTCAGGCTGGTCTGTAAATGGGTCAGGGGTCTCTAACTGGGGCAGGGGTCTCTAATTGGGTCTGGGGTCTCTGCTGAATTGGGTCTGGGGTCTCCAGGCTGCAGACGGGCATGGGGGGCGTTATGGGCAAGCCGCAGGGCACGGCTCTGGGACTGGGGCTGGGCTCTGTAACCGGGTCTGGGGTCAGTCACTAATTGGCTCTAGGGTCACTAATTGGGTCTGGGGTCTCTGTGTGTGTCCCTAATTGGGTCTGGGGCCTCTAATTGGGTCTGGGGTCCTCAGGCTGCAGACGGGCATGCGCGGCGCCTTCGGCAAGCCGCAGGGCACAGCTCTGACTGGGGCTGGGCTCTGTAACTGGGTCTGGGGTCAGTCACTGATTGGGTATAGGGTCTCTAATTGGGTCTGGGGTCAGTCACTAATTGGGTCTGGGGTCTCTAATTGGGTCTGGGGTCCGCAGGCTGCAGACGGGCATGCGCGGCGTTTTGGGCAAGCCGCAGGGCACGGCTCTGACTGGGGCTGGGCTCTGTAATTGGGTCTAGTGTCCCTAATTGGGTCTGGGGTCTCTGATGAATTGGGTCTGGGGTCTCTGTGTGTGTCCCTAAATGGGTCTGGGGTCTCTAATTGGGTCTGGGGTCTCTGCTGAATTGGGTCTGGGGTCTCCAGGCTGCAGACGGGCATGCGCGGCGCCTTCAGCAAGCCGCAGGGCACGGCTCTGACTGGGGCTGGGCTCTGTAATTGGGTCTGGGGTCAGTCACTAATTGGCTCTAGGGTCACTAATTGGGTCTGGGGTCTCTGTGTGTGTCCCTAATTGGGTCTGGGGTCTCTGCTGAATTGGGTCTGGGGTCCGCAGGCTGCAGACGGGCA